ACACGTTTGACGAGTTGGGAGTGAGAACGTGTTGCCTCTGCACGTCCTCCTGTCTTTTGTTTAGTTGGCTTAGTTTGTATATCCTTATTATTTCTTTTTGCAAAAACTGGCTTGTATAGTTTATAAGAGCACCTTTTCTCTGTTAATTCTGTCAATATGTATATAAAGCTGCAGAACACACAGCAGGGAGCTGAAATACATTGATCTTTAACCTGGATTTTGTCAGGTAACTGTGACGGTCAGGCGGGAGCTGTTTGATGAGCTGACATGGTGTGACCAGCTATACTCTGCTGCCCTTTAACGTCTTATCTTTTTAATCCATACGTACTTTAAACTGTCCTCTCATTCACCTCAGATACCCCTTCTGACCTGCCGAGAGTATGAGTGAGTCCAGCATTGTGTAACGTTCAGCTTCCAGAGAGCTCAGCTCACACGCAAAGATCACAGCAGCGTGATGGCACATTAAAGCAGGAGCCCAGCTCAGTTCTGACAATAAATTCAAATAATAATAATAATCGTCCAGTGCTGAAACAGTAAAACCTGCAGTTCCTCTCATGTCCAGCAGAGGCAGCAGTGAGTCAGTCCCGTGTTAAACCTCATGTTTACAGCCGGAAACTCCAGTCATGGCGGCCATGTCCATCTTTTATTTACAGTTAAACAAGGGCAGTCAGTGAGTGTGGTTTTTTAAATGGGACACCTGTGTCTGTCACACCTGGGTTTTATCACCAATGGGGGGCGGGGTCACAGAGCTTGTACATATATTAGAATTAAGATGAATAAAAGAAAAAATAAACGGCGTGCTGATGTCACCACTCTGACCTCTGTGGTTTTACCTGCTGCGTCTCATCATCACTGTAAATGATTGATTGAATTCTTGGGGGGGGGGCAGTGCTGATCACAGACTACACTTTAATTCTGAGGGATGAAACGACCAGACAGAGTTGAACTTTGACCTCTGAGCGGGACAGAAGGAGGGTCTTCATAAACGCTGAGCAGAGGTGCTGCTGTGTCAGTGTGGAGGAGGCCTGCAGCCCATCATGGGTCACAGGAAGTTGTGTCTGCTGCTGCTGCTCGGCTGCTGCGCGCGGGCTCGTAAGTACCGACCCATCCTCGTGCACGCACACGAGGACGCTCTGTTAGTCTCACTCAAGCCGTTTTTCTACATGGATGAAAAAGTTGTTCTCTCACTGATCTCTGGGATCTTTCATTGTTTTCTTTCCTACTTTAAACTCGGTGCTTCCAGCGGTGTAGTCGTGCTCGCGTCCATCTGTCAGTTTGACTCCAGCCGGAGACATGGGTCCCCTTTGGGGCGCGTCAGCTTTTCATGCTGTTCATATTATAAAAGTGTGAATATGAGCCATCAGATCTGAGACAGGAAACACTTGTCTCTCTGATGTGTGCCAAACGCAACAAAATCACTTTTTACACAAACAAATCTAAATTTCAAATGTTTGTATTCGAGTGTATAATGTTTATTTTTAATGGAACGCTTCAGTCGTCGGTGTGATCTTGGCTCTTTTTTAAGGTTTTATTATAATCGCGTCCTTCTGGCCTCTAGAAGCCGCTCTCATTACTCCAATATTAAAATACTGTTAAGTATGTTGATCGTGTTTTCTTCCAGAGGACGGGCAGGACGTGGACCAACAAACTGCAGCGTGTCAGTGTAAGTCATCCTCACTCTTAAACATGCAAACTCATTTTTATTCATTTTTTTTAAGGTTGAGCTGAAAATATTACGTATTTAAAGAACTGTGGACTTTCTCCTCGCTGGAGAAGGTCGAGTGTGTGCACTGTGTGCAAACACACACATCGACCTGCTAACAGATCAATGGCGCACTGATAAACGCACGGCCTGTTTTCTGGAGATAGCGGCTCGTGGACTCCTGTCCTGTTTGTGAATGAGAGCTGCTGCTCACTCTCACCTGCGACGGGGTCAAAGGTCAGCTGCTGAGTCATGGTGTGGAAAGCCAATCCTGAGATGCAGCAAGAGGACAACCATCGAAGCCTTTTCACATAAAGGAGCAAAGCCCTGACCATGTGACCCTCTCCTCCCCCCACAGCAGCATCCAGATTCAAGGCCTTCAGGAAGTATGTGTATCGGTACAGCACAGAGAGCCGGAACAGCGTGACCGGCGCCGCCGACCTGAGAGACGGCCATGAGCTCACCTGTCAGGTAAACAGCTGTTTATGCGTCCTGTTTTTCACCTGATGACACGATGTTCCTCTCTGACCGTGGCTCTGCTATCGCCGCTCGTCAGGTGGAGGTCGAGGTCCCCCACCTGTGCAAGTTCATCATGCACACCAGGGGCTGCACCCTCAGGCCGGCCCCCAGCTCGGACGCCTTCCAGGCCGCCATGGAAAGGTGAGTGCAAAAACACAGACTGTATATTAAAATGGCATGCTGCTGCCATGTCGGTTTTTGGAGCAGCGAGCACATTTTCGAGTGAGGCTGGTTTATGACCCCGACAGGCTCCGACACTCTGCTCCCCTCAGAAAACATTCGATGTGTTACGTTTTAAAGATCGAGCCTTTGTGTCCACAGCAGCGGCGTGTTCAGGAGCAGCACCTTCACCGGCTGAACACGCCCCCCTCTGATCAGGTTTCACTGTCTTTGTTCATCCAGGAACCCTCTGAAGTTCACCCTGCAGGGTGTCTCCAACATTCAGCTTTACCCCGACGCCGACGAGGCGATCGGCATCCTCAACATCAAGAGAGGGATCGTTTCTGCTCTCATGGTTCCAGACACGGAGGACCAGCAGGGCGGCCGCACGGTGAGCGTCCTCTGAAACACTCCAAACCATAATCAGTGTTGTCACAGGAAATAGTTTATTTCAGGAAAAACAAAAAGATTTCTTTTATCAGGATTTTTTTTCTGTCAGTAAAGAAATTCAAACTTACCAAGAGTGGAAAACATGAAGGTTTTGAGTTTTAAGCCCACTTCCTGCTTCAACTATGTGTTCGTATCCACAAGATTAGCAAAGGTCACAGCAGGGTAACGCCTCTTCACTGCATTCAGACGTGACGAAGACGACCTGCTGATGTTCGGCCTGAGCTTCAGCATCGGGAAGAAAAGTGATTTCACTGACTGTGGCGAGGTTGTTGGTCTGAGTGTTGCTGCGGTTTTCCCACCAACCATCTCTGAGCTTACAGAGGAAATATCGGTGAGCAGCAGGGAGGAAGTCCTTGTTGATGTCACAGGAGAACGAGCAGGAAGCTGACGGGAAGGAAACAGGAACTCAAATAAGCTCGTGAGAAGACCATCTCTGTGCCTTGAAGCAGATGGACTCCAGCAGCAGAAGACCACACTAGGAAACAAAGGCAACGACTGACACAGACTCATGAAACAGGACAACAGCAGATGGGAAACGGTTTCCTGATTTCTGCTGCAAATGCATGAAAGCCTGTATCGGTGCTCAGGCTGTGGTGTGATGGTGTGATGGTGTTGGCCGTTGGGCCCCTGACCACGCTCACTGTGCCCATCCCTGTTGTAATGTTTGCATGCCTCAAACATTAATGATGACACCTTCAGTATTTCTCAGTTCCATTCTTTAATTCTCAGGCTTGCAGCGGCAACACAGTCTGCAGCGCTAACTTGTTCATCTCCCGTTTTCTGTTGTCTCCTTTTTTTTATCTCCTCCTTCGGCCTTACATTCGACCTTTCAAAATAAAAGTTCTGTAAACATCACACCTGTGTGACCTCAGGACCTGTCTACTATCCTTTTTTCTGCTGTTTTCTCCTTTTTCAGAGCACCGTGCACGGTCAGTGCGTCACTCTGGTGAACTCGAGCAGTGATGTTGCCACAGGTGTGACGCTGGTCAGAGATCTGTCCCAGTGTGACCAGTTCTACAGCAGAGAGCTGACCAACAGCCCGCTGGCCCTGCTGCAGAGACTGGTGGGAACTCAGAAGCAGTTTGTTCTTTTCTTTACCCTCAGTTTGATTTCCTGATTACTGCAGAAACAAATGCACGAAGCACTCAGACAGCTCCACACACCTTAGCGATGTAACATCACCTGTAATTATTCTACTTAATGTTGTCCTGTCTGTGAGCTCGCTGAGGCTGACCGCAGACCTCGTGACAGTAATGTCACAGTAATACAGCCTCCGTGTCACAATAGTCACGAAAAAGGAGTTTAAATGGTGCAAACATGTTTTCTGAAGTCAGGTTTGTGTTTCCAGCACAGCCCGATATCCAAGCTGATCACAAGCACTCAAAGCTGCAGCTACCAGTTTGATCGGAGGGAAAGGCACATCACCACAGCCTCGTGCACAGAAAACCACAGCTACCTGCCGCTCTCCCACACGTGAGTCACCGCCTGACTGCATGTTTGTGTGCGTGCACAGGGCGCCGTTACGCCTCAGCTTTAATCTGCTCTGCAGGGACAGCATGGTGTCGTCAGAGCTGACGCAGGAGCTGCGCTTCCAGAGCAACAGGAGGACCAGCAACAGAGACTTCAGTGAGTGAGCTTTCCAGTCAGCTGTGGAGTTTCACACCTGGGGATTATTGTGTCCCCAGGTGATTCGTGTCACCTGTTTAAATTGACTTAAGGCTTAAAGTTTGCATTACTGGGGCGTGGCCTCTTTGACTGACAGGTGGATGGTGACACAGGTGGCTATAGCTGTCTGCTAGCTTCACCTGAACTGGACCTCTGGACCGTGTTTGTGCTGTTGGATCCTTTTTTGAGGACTTTTAATGACATTATGTGACCAATAATAAGGCTGCTGGGCGGTCACTGACTAACAGATCATCCAAGAAGTCTGACATTGAGTTTTAGTGAAGTTTGAGGATTTAATTTGGACAACAAAATATTGTCAGTTCTGAATTCTGAAGATTTGAAACGTGGGTGAGGTCATGTGACCACATCCATCCGTACACGTCGGTGCAACAGGCAGCTGCACCCCTACATGGCCAGCAGGAAAATAATTTAAGTCTCTTCATTAAAGTTTTATAAACCACTGCTGACGTCCATTTTTAAATGAGACTCACCTCTTACTGGGAAATGAATAAGTGACATCACATGTGTCTGTGTGCAGGTGTGGAGCGCGACCAGGTGAGGCCCCTTCACTTTGAAGATCCTGAAGATAAATCTCCAGTGCAGACGGGAGACGATGTTCTGACCACCTTACGGGAGCTGGTGACGTTAGCGGGCTCAGACCAGGGTCAAAAAAGGGCGGGGCTTTTCCATAAGCTGGTGTCCGGCCTGCGCGCCCTGAGGAACGAGACCCTGAGCCGGGCGGTCCCTGAGATGCGAGCGGCATCAGGCTGGCTCACCTGGCAGGCCCTGTTCCAGTGCGGGACCTCAGAGTGCACCAGCGCCATCCTGCAGATTATCCGGACCATCGACGGCGTTTCCCTGGAGACAGACGCTCTGGTCTACGCCTTGAGTCTGCAGGCTGACCCTGATGCTGCACGTGTGCGAGACATGCTCAGCATGGCTCAGTATAAACAGAGCAAGCCCATCATGTACGCTCTGGCCAACACAGTGAAGAAGTAAGTAAGGCTATGATGCAGTGCTTCAGGTGACCACTAGAGGGAGACCAATGGTCCCCATGTCTCAGTGTCACACGTGAGGAAGTATCGGTCACGGAGGTGGAACCGTCGTCAGCCATAAACGGCCGACAGGGCGTGCTCGTCACCATACTGGGCAGACAGCGTGGTGTTGCTTAGCACACCCGTGATCATAACAGTTTCCATCTCAGTCATGCCTGCAGCATCACGCATCATCTGACCTGAGCAGCTGACCACACTCTTTTTCATCCACAGGATCCATAAAAACGCGGTAACGCCGGAGGTCACGGATGTGCTCACAGACGTGTCAAAGTTCATGGAGGTGCTCTTAAACGACTGCTCAGTCCCACACTACGACTCTGACCTTCCTCCTGACCCCGCAGAGATGTCCTTCCTTGTCCTGAGGGTACGTGAAGCGTGTCATGTAGTTTTAGATCCATGGACGTATTCTTCTGCTGAAAGCTGTCTCGGGGCTTCAGTCCTCCGCATAAATGTTGATTTCTAATCTGCAGGTCGTTGGGGTCATGGGTCAGGCCATGCAAGCCGTCAGCCCCAGCCTGATCTCGTCCATTTTACGATGTGCAAAGAAAGCAGAAGTCCCACTATCACATCAAAAGGCAGCCATACAGGCCTTTAGACGGATGGACGTCAGTGATGAGGTAAAGTCTCTCTCTTACATGGACACATCTCTCACACAGACTGATCTGGGAATGATTGAAACAGTCCAAAAATGACATGTCAGACTCATCTGCTCATTTTGAATCTGAGAATGTCTGAGAACCATCATCATGAACGTAGCTCATCACTGCATCCACACAGGAAGCTCAGACTGAACCAGAAGCACCTCCACCTCCTCTGAGCTTATTTAAGGTGGACTGGCGCCGAGTAGAAGCTGTGGTAATTCCTCTGGGTTGAGGAGGAGAGGAATCACCACAGCTTCTCAGCTTACAGGTTAAAGCAGCATCTCTGCTAGTATGGCAGGGGGCACATGAGTACAGTCATGACCACTGAAACATCTGGAGCCACAAACACAAGAACACACCAGTTCAGCTCCTCAGTTCAAACACCTGGACAGCAGGTACCCACAGACATACTCCTGAACATTTCAAACGTGAGGCTGGCATCAAATTCAAAATGAACAGATACTGACTCTGAAAATGTTCAGTATACACGTGATTGTATTCATGTGTCACTCCCCGTGTGGTTGGTCACAGGTCAGAGATGTGTTCGTGGAGGTGTACCGGGATGATCACAGCCCCGTAGAAAAGCGTGTAGCAGCTTTCCTGATTCTGATGAAGAGCCCGGACCGAGCGACCATCAGAGACATCGTCAGCAGTTTGGAGAACACGAGGGACGAGCAGCTCAGGAGCTTCGTGGTGTCTTACCTGAACAACATCAGAAACTCAGACGAACCACAAATACAGCAGTGAGTGAACGACCAGGGATGTCCTGCAGGGGGCGACTCCTCTGAAATCTGATTGTATAGAGGTCTGTGAGAAAATGAGGCGGATGGTCATCTCTGAGCTCAGTGAACTCTTTCAGTGGGCTCGGCCTCTAGTTTCAGGTCTGACTCAAGAAAACATGAAGTTCATTTTGGAAACGATTTAGGGCGGGGCTACTTTGTTACTAGCACCTGAGCGTCTGCTGTCTGGGTTTTATGTCAGGTTGGTTCGATTGAAACATACAGAATGTTCACTCGAGGTTTTTAAACATCAAGACTTCAAAGTGTGTTTGACTCTGAGGGCAAAGACGTGACGTGGATGATGATGGTTACAGGGCAATGATAGAAACCCTGCGGCCTGTTCGACACTGCGGTGGTTACATCCTCCTGTTATAAACAATCTCAGATTGGAAGAATATTACCTGCACGTTGAACGCATCCTCCTATGTGATTCGTGTTTCCAGCACATTCACACATTTATGTTATTATGTGATGACATTAAATGGACTAAGTACCAACACTACAGACAGAGAAAGTCAGAAACTCGCTGAGCAGCCACATCTTTAGCTGGTTGAAATCAAAGTAAAGTAAAAAATAAACTGAAGTTTTCTGAATAACAGTACTGCAGCAGACTTTAAAAATAAGAAATAAACAGAAGCTGAGGCTGACATGTGTAATGAGCAAAGATGGTATCGGTCCAAATATCAGAGTGCAAAGTGGAGAAAGGACAGGAACCATCCATCCAGGCTTCCCTGCTCTGTACCTCGTTAAAGCCCTCGTTAGGCTTTCACAGCTGAGGGACTTAAGTTAAAGCAGAGAAAGAAGCTTTGTTTGACAATACAATCATATTGATTGTACATGCACTTCTTCACCTCACCACTAGATGTCTCATGTACAGTCTGTATCTGTGATTACTCTGGGCTGATAGATGCCACCGTAGCAAGAGGAGGGCACCGGCCGGGGATCTGTACACGACTGATCATGACTGAAAAAACAAAAGTGCTGCTGATTCTGCATTATATTAATAAACACTATTAAATATCATTTATTGTCCTTTCCAAAGACTCAGGGAGTACACTGAGTCGGCCCTGAATGGCCAGCCGTCACTCACAGGCGCCATCTTTGATGGCATGTCCCGCAACTACAAGCTGGACTCCTCCTTGGGATCAATCCAGAGCAACATCATCTTTGATGGAAGCGACACCTTACCCAAGGAGATGATGCTGGAGACCACGCTGAAGGTGTTTGACTACAGCTACGACATCTTCGAGGTATTGAATGACATGAATCTGCAGTACAAAAATCAGTTTTCTGTCGAGGTCCAAACATTTAAAATCTCCTTTTTAAGGTCGGCGTTGAAGGAACGGGATTCGAACCAACGATCGATGCTCTTTTTGGGGAGAGAGGTTTGCTCCCTGAATCCATTTCCAGACTGATGTACTTGGCGCAGGACAAAGCCCCAATGCTCAAAGCCATTTTGGACAGAATAGCACCCCAACGAGACAGAAGGAAGAGACAGGTGAGAGGTTCTCCACGTACACGGAGCTACCACATGAGCAAATGCTATGTCACATGCTGAAACACAGACTGTCCTGTGCTCTCAGATCCCAGAAGACTTTCTGAAAGACATGGCGGACAGAATCCAGAAACTTGTGAATGATGTGAGCTCCTCTCCAGCGCCTGAAGCCGCCGCCTACCTCCGACTTTTGGGGAATGAGATTGGATATCTGAAGACCGGCGAGATGAGGAAAATGTTTGAGACTCTGTTCATGTACTACCACGTCTTCATCAGGGTACTACCTGCCCAGGTGGGATATTCTGTCTCCTGACCGTTTGGTGTGTTGATCGTGGCAGGAAGTGGCACACAGCTCCAGTGTGCATCGGTGCCT